AGCACTATTTCTTGGACTTAATTTTTTTTTTTAATAGTCAGACATCTTGATGTTGAGATGATCGATTAGAGGGTTTTTCAACATTAAAACAAGCTTTTCCGATGGATTTTTTATGTGCATCTTTAATTCTATATTTTAATGTTGCAACCTTCTACAAAGTTTTTTAAAAATATATAAAATGTATTATTTAACTATTATGATTAAAAATATGAAGTTATATTTATTTAAATATTATTGATATATTATTATATATAATAATTATTTAAATATTAACCACTATTCAGGTTCGGGTCGGGTTTACATGGATCCAAACTCGAACACAAAGATCTGATCCGGATACGAACAATGTTCGGTTCCAAGATTTGGACCCACACCCGATCCAATGAATTGAATTTTTGAACCCATACGCAGATCCAGATCAGGTCCAGTCATCGAGTCATGGTCCATCGCCACCCTATGGATTGAGCCCCAATAATTGATCAATTGTGGAAAAGGTGAATGACTCCTACAAATATTTGTCTATCGTGCAAGAATGCTAAGGAAACAAATATTGATGGATTGTTCCTTTGTTTATCCCCTCCGGACCTTGCTTTTAGGACGTTTGAATTTAGTCGGGTATCTCCTAATTTCATAAAACAGCTTATTATATTCAATGATATTTAGCCACCTTTGCCAAGGTAAAGCGGAATAGTAGAGCTTTTTAAGGTATGCAGAATTCAGGACTTTCTCAAAAAGCAAAAGATAGAATACAAGAGATATGTGAGAGGAGAGAAGCATATACCATAACTTCAGATAAATATTCTAAAACCAAAGATTTACATCCTTGTTAGATAAAAAGATATGTGTGTATGACAGATACAAGTGTATGAAATGTGAACCTTAAAAAATGACTTCATGACACATTTGTATAATATACGAGTATCGTGTATATATATTTAAATTTATGTGTATGTCACATCTACATTTACATATACAACTCATGTTGTACAACAATAGTAAATAATCTAAAAATACAAAATTAAATTAATAGTCTAGAAAAAGGTTACTTTGTGAATTTGAATTTTATTCATCAAAAATTTCTTATAACTCAATCCAAAGTACAACATGGGGAAAAAAGTACAACAAAATTTTAAAAATACCAAAATTCTAGTACAATCTTTTAAAACTAGTAAAAGTCAATTACTACGGCAAGACAAGGTATAATATAATTCACACAATTAAAGGAAAAAAGGATTAGGGAACAATAAAGATATTACATAATACAAAGCACAATAAGAAATGAATAGAGAAAAGTCGAAGAAAATATATGAATATCTAGTGGTCCACAGCTTGGAGAAGGAGAAACTAGTGGTTCATAGGGGTTGGGGAGAGAAAGACCATTTGGGGAAGGAGAAACCCTAGAAAGTTTCATGTTAGTTGAAATAAATCTATGTTTCTTATTTATAATAACAATCACTTATGGAAACCCTTATTTAACACATTAAAATATTTTTTATTGTTTATTATAAACTACTTAATTTATTTTTGCTTTTAAAATAAAATATTCTTAAATTAAAAATGAAGTTTGTAAACAAATAAATCTACTTAAAAAATAAACATGTCTTAAAAAGAGAAACACATAATTGGATACTTTATAGAGGTTTCTTACATGTCCAAGAGGTCAACATGTTAGTCTGCATCTAACTAGTGTCCACACATGATCAGATCCTTAGACACCCGTATCATGGTTTGTCCCTTTTAACGAGCTTTTTGCTCAAATTCAACAGTGTATTATATAAACACCCCATTTGGCTAAGAGGTCCCTAGGTGCCTAAAACATAACTTTAGATCATAAAACCTAAGGCATGCCTACCCATAGCCTAGACATCACTAAGCACACCAGAATTCACAACTAGGCTGCTCTGTGGCCCATCTTTTAGCCTAAAACCTTTATGACCATCCATTAGAACTCCAATTTCATTCTAGATTCCCCTTCTAGGATCATGTTGAGCCAAATAGACCAAAGAGCATTAAGTTTTAATGCTCCGTATGGAGCCGACACCTTGGGATTCCTGCATAAATGGGCCCGAACTGAAAAAACATGGTTAGTTTTCGAGGTGTGCACCTAAACACATCATCCTAATGCTCAGGACAAAAATAAGATAGATTGAGGGGATCATATACAGTGCTCTAAGGTGCAGAAAAGATAATGAAGTTGGTACGGCCCTACTAAGTCATATGGCATTCCTTCAAATCCCATATGAAGTTTTCTGAGATGTCATTGATTGAGATGTTCACAGTAAGTAAATATTAATGAAAAATTCATGATATATATTTTTCAAAATAGGAAAATGGTCCCATTGCACCTTTTAAAAGGAGCAAGTCAAACAAAACAACTGACAAACTATAGATTTTTCAAACCCAATATCAATGAAATGTGACATATCCATCCTTTTTAAAAAGGAAAAAGTTTATATAAAGGTTGAGGCCCTGAACAATCAAACTCAGGCATACCTAAAAAATTCACTTGAAGAAGTTGTTTTGATACTGAAAAACCCTCAAATCCTATCATCCCAACCATGAGGTAATGGATGTAAAAAAAAAATAGATTTCAAATCTTGGAAATACTACATCTTGTAATGCATTTTCTAAACCGTCAATTTTCAAGATTTTCAGTGTTCATAGATCTTCTTGATTTACACTTTTTCGAAGCTTTAACTTTTATATTTGGAGTTGAAAATAAATTTTCATGCCATCATAAATATTTTCGGTACTGAAAAGGCATTTTTTGATACTATTTGAAGGTGTGCCTTACTTTAATTGTTTAGGGCCTCAGCCTTATGCAAACCATAGCCTTCAAAAAATTAGATGACATTTTGGATACCAGGTAATATGTAACTTCATTCAACCTAATCATTTTTTGGGTGAATTCATTCAACCTAATCAACTCACCTCCAGTTTGAATTTGACTTTTAAAAGAGCAGTTAAGGTTGAAATTGGATTAGATAATGCATCATAAAGCTCTAATCAAAGATTGTAGAGAAATTAGGATGTGTTGGTTAGATTGAACAAACTGAAACATTATATATTTTTATTCTAATAAGAAAGATTAATCACAGCCAAATCATACAAGAGAAATAATGAGTTCCTTTGCATATCTTTTCAAGACATTACTAAATGGGGCTTTCGCACTACTGGCAAACTGAGTAGTTAGTGCCCAACTCACAAGACTCAAAAATAGCTCCTAAAAAAAATATAAAAAGGCAAAAAATATTGAAATTTTAATAACTTCAGTACATTGGTTAGAAATATTTTTTAAGACTTTGCTAGTTTTTAAGATCATTTGAGAACTTTCATAATTTTTCCTTTTTTAATAATTTTCTGAAAGTATAAAACCAATTTTTAATAGTCCATCTTTAGTCTTCTAATGAATTATATTAACTCTTTTAACTTTGGAAAAAGTTTATATAATGTTGTAACCTTAAAATGTAGAATTACAGATGCGCCTCAAAAATCCATTGGATAAGGTTGTTTTAATGTTGAAAAGAACTCTAATTAGTCTTCTCAACATCGAGATGTATGAATATGAAAAAAAAAATATATTTTTAGTCCTATAAATTGTACATCTTGCAACACATTAGCTAGACTGTCCGTTATCAAGATTTTCATAGGTTTATAGATCTACATGATTTTAACCATTTTTGGAGTTTAAAATTTTATGAATAGATTTTGAGATAATCTTAAGAATTTTTTACACCAAAATTTCATGTTATGATAAACTTTGGATGTACGTCTTAATTGGATTGTTTAAGGTTGCAACCTTATAGAAACCACATCCTTTAACTTTACATGTAGTTTGTATAAGGTGATAACGTTATTTGTACAAATAAAGTTGCGATGTATTAAAGTACCTATTTTAATTAGATGGTATAGATTTGATTAGCCTTTTAAGACAACATTAGAAAGTGATTTTTTTTTTGTTTTAATATAATGTCGAATCTACACCAATCAAATAACATGTTTAGACCACATATTACTACAACCTTACTTCTACAAGTACACTAACTTATGTAAGCTTTTTTTTTTTACTTTTTCTATTTTTTACTATCTTTTAGAGAATTCTTATGTTCCTTTGTTTGAGTCCACGTAACTCAGCAGAGTTACTTACCTCAGCCAAGAGCCGAGCACCTCGAGCCAATTTCCGAAACATTGAATGGAAACATTGCAAAAGATCCTTAAGCAGCTTTGAAATCATATGCCTTTCGAGGTAAGATTGGGAAGAATAATGGTAAAAGAATGATAAGCATATCTTTAGCTAGATAGATGATCGCAAGTCACGCCAGTAATTTGTACAAAAACTTCAAACCAGCAAATCAGAAAAACAAAATCTCAGGAAAGTATATATAATATATAAATCGAGGAGATCAAGAAAATGAAACACAAAAAAGATCATCTACACATTTCATAAATAATCAGCATTATTTATC